CTCTCTCTCTCTCTCTCTCTCTCTCTCTCTCTCTCTCTCTCTCTCTCTCTCTTCCTCCCTCTCCCAGTCTTTCTCCCTCTCCCTCCCTCTGTTGTTTGTTTTGAGACAAGATTTTTCTGTATAGCTCTGGCTGTCCCGGAACTCTTTCTGTAAAGCAGGCTGGCCACTAACTAAGATACCTGCCTCCCTCTGCCTCCTGAGTAATGGGACTAAAAGCATGCACTACTACACCAGCGCTTAAAAAAAAAAAAAATCTCTCCTTCTCTCTCTCCCTCTCCCTCTCCCTCTCTGTTTTTTCAGGGAGAATTTTTCAGGGAGAAATAATGGCAAACCGGGCGGTGGTGGCGCACGCCTTTAATCCCAGCACTCGGGAGGCAGAGGCAGGTGGATCTCTGTGAGTTCGAGGCCAACCTGGTCTAGTTCCAGCTAGTTCCAGGACAGGAACCAAAAAGCTATGGAGAAACCCTGTCTCGAAAAATCAAATAATAATAATAACAATAATGGCAAAGCGGGGATTTGAGAAACTGTCTCAACAAACAAATAAATAATTGCGAAGGAAAGTTGAAATTGCCAAGAATAGGCTACTTACTGAGTTTTTATTAAATGGGAAATTCCTGTTGGTGTTCTTAAGTTAGTAGCTTGTCACTGGTATTAAAAGGCCCTATTCAGGGCTGGAGAGATGGCTCAGAGGTTAAGAGCACTGTTTGTTCTTCCAAAGGTCCAGAGTTCAATTATCAGCAACCACATGGTGGCTCACAACCATCTGTAATGAGATCTGGTTCCCACCTTCTGGCCCACAGGCACAGGCAAACCACTGTATACTTAATAAATAAATAGATAGATAGATAAATAAATGGTTTATTCAGTAACAAACATGGAGACCCTGTTATGTACTTACAGTAAACCATTAGCGTCCAATGAAGGGGAAATCCCTCTTCTAGATATCTGAACAGTTTGTAGAGTTGTGCAGTACAATAACATTTTGGAAAATACCTAATGAGCACATATTTCACAGAAAAGAGGTGGATCAGCACAAAATAAGCCATTGCACTAAATAGCCCGTATATAGAACAGATACTGGGCTAGCCTGCTCTCTGTAAGGGGGCCAGATGATAGTCAACATTTCTGGTTATGTGAACTTTGAGGTCATTGTGGCAAATACTCAACACGGCATGAGCCAGGCCGTAGATGATCACATGTAAACAAGTGGTCATGGCTGTGATCCAGGGGCAGGAAAGTTTTATTGAATAAAAATGCCAATGCCATGTAAATTTTTGCATCATACTGTATTATTTTTCTTGACTTTTGAGACAGGGTCTTGTTATGTAGCCCAACATGGAACTGGCCTAAGACTCATCTCCAGGCTCTGCCTAAATAAATAAATAAATAAATTGTACCTAATGTTATTAGGTATCATTATGTCATTTTGAAACACAATTTGGTTTTGTTACTCCACTTTGCTGCCTCTTGTCTCTCATTCCCCAGCCTGTCCCTTTACCGTCTACCTTCTACCCCTAGTAAGCCGCATGTCACAGGAGTTTCACCAGTGTTCTGTTACCCTCGCCCTTTCCTCCACGTCGTGACCGCCGCCCCCCTTTCTGGTGTCAGGACCTCACTCACACCCAGACAGATCCATGTATGTAAACACTAAAAGCTGGGATCTGAATATGAAAGAAAACATGCAGTATTTATTTTTTCAGAACTTGTTTGCCTCACTTAATATGATAATGCATAGACCCATCCACTTTTCTGCAAATTTCACAATTTTATTTGTCTTTACAGCTGATAAAATTCCCATTGTGAGCACATTTTCATTATCCATTCGCCTATTTGTGGACTTCTAGGTTATTTCCTTTCGTAAAATATTACTCTTTTCATTTGTTTCAGTCACTTGAAAAACTGTAACTGGCGCTGTAATCTCACAGGTGCAGCTTGGCAGAGCTTGGCTCCCTGGCCTGGGTTTGCATACCCCTTCTATAAGAAACAAAACGGGAGGCATATTTACAAAGGAGAGGGCAAGCCTGGAGGGGTAACATTGGTTGTCTGGTGTCACACCCCTCTAGGTGGAGCTGGAGCTAGCCCCAGCACTTCTGACTGCAGCCCAGAGCTCTCCCGCATCCACTGCTTCCTCTTCGCTCTCTCTTCCTCCCCCTTTAACACTTTCTATGTCTTTCTTTCACTTCAGTGATTCCAGTGTTACCCTCAGAAATTATACAAGTTCTAAACAAGAAAATAAATAATCCAATAAATAATATTTAAAGAGTGATTTGATCAGGCCTAATTCTGACTGTATAACTTAACAGTATAAGCGAGATATGACGGTTCACGTCTGTAATCCCACCACTTGGAGGTAGAAGCGGAATAGGGATGAATTTCAGCCCAGTTCCACCTTGGGCTACATAACAACACGGTGTCTCAGAACTAAACAAGCTGTGTGACACATACTTTTAACCCCAGCACTTGGGAAGCAGAAGCAAGCGGATCTCTGTTAGTTTGAAGCCAGCCTAGTATACATAGGGAGTTAACAGTGTACAGCAGTTAAGCGTGCAAGGGAGCTCGCTGCTCTTCCGCAGGACCAAGGGACAGCTCCTAGCACCCATACTGGTGGCTCACAGCAGCCTGTAACTCCAGTTCCAGGTGATCTGACATCGCTTTCTGATGTACATACAGAGATTCAGGCATGTACACATACACATAAAATGAGGATAAACCAGTCTCTTTTTTAAAGCCAAACACAAAAGCTGGATGTGGTGGCAGATGTCTTTAATCCCAGCACTTGAGAGAAAGAGGCAAGCAGATCTCTGTGAACTCGAGGCCAGCGTGGTCTACAGACTGAGTTCTAGGACAGCCAGAGCTGCATGGGGAAAGCATGTTTTGAAAAAAAAAATGTTTAATGTATTTATTTAACAAATATACAAGCTAACGTCTTTAAAAAAAAAAAACAAACCTTCAAGCCATTTATTTATTTAGATTAGGCTGGCCTCGAACTCACAGAGATCCACTTGCCTCTGTTGCAGGCCTAATTCCAAGGTAAGTATTGAGTTACTAACTTCATGGTGATCAATGTCTTCGCTTGAGTAAGATTACTACAAGAACAGTCATGATTATCATGGTAGGAGACCCCCTTAGTAACTTCCCCCCCTTTCTCTACTTCAGTGTTATCATAATTACTTTGGTGATTTAGGCATTTGATACATGTATATAAATATATTTGGGGTGTGTGTGTGTGTAGATTTATAAACCCTACTACCACTTCTTGAACATAGCATTCCAAACTGTCTCTTGAATAAGCACCATGTATAACAGAATTGGTTTGGCCAGGCAGATGACTCAGTGGGTAAAGGTGCTTGCTGCTAAGCCCGACAACCTGAGTTCAATCCCTGGGATCCACGAGAAGAAAACCAACTCCTGCATGTTGTCTTCTGATTCCCCCACTGCATTTCACAGAGCATGTTCATGCACACACACACACACACACACACACACACACACACACACACGTAAGTAGATAAATAAATGGTGTGGGGGGGGTTGTTTTTTGTTTTTTAAAAAAAAGAACAGTTGCTTTCCCAGAAGTAAGTCTGTCCAATGTAGTCAGTTCCACCTCCATGCTTGGCTCACTGAATTTGCCAGATGGTTCAGATAAATTCAGGAGCTACGAGCCAGAACTTCTCCATTGATTTTATTTGGTAGCATGCATTGCATATAAAGAACTGACTCACCTGCAATCCATGAATGGATGTGCACTTACTCCAGGCACGAGTTACTGGGCTACCCTGACTGTGGTATATTCATGTGCTCATGCAACATGTAGATACGTAATTATTGATGCTTACCACATGCCAGAGACAAAAAAAATATTTTTGAAGTTACATTCATTTTTGTATTTGTGGGTAGGCAGTGTAGCTCAGTAGTAGAACACTTGTGCATCCACAAGGCCATGGGTTCAATCCCCAGAACTTGAGAGGAAGAGACAGTGACAGAGGGAGACTTTTAGAGGCAAGTCCTAGAGGCTACCCCTTCCCTGTGATAAGCACATTGCTTCAGCACACCGTTATATTCGCTCATTCTCACACTACCCGTAGATATATAGGCATTCGTCACGGACAAGAAAACTGCAACCCAGAAAGTCGACAAAGTAACGAATAGTAAGGATCCATCCTCAACTAAGCCCCTTTACTCCAGAGCTCACGCCTTTAGCTGTCACTAAATTATCCTGATAACAAACATTAAAATATGAGCTCCCTGCTTAGTTCAAAATTCAGTCAACATTT